TGCATGTGTGCGCGCGCACCTGCCAGCACATCCATGTCATGGAGGGCATTTAAGCACAATCCTGTGTACTTGGGAGATCTGTAGTGTTCATCTGAAGTTTGTCCTGCTGGCTTCTGGGCAGGAGAGACAACCATCCCCTTTCTGCTGCTCTGAACAGACTTCCTGCTCTCACTAACCTGTTCCCTGCTCTCATTGAAGTGGTGACTTTTGTAAACAGGAAGAAACAGTCTTCATAGTCACACCACTGCTTGTGTCTGTCCATGTGTGTGAGCTGTGTATGTTCATAGTGTGTGCACTTGGGACTTGTGTAGTGTATGCATAGATTTCAAGTGGTTAGTGTGGATTTTGTTCCTGTTTTTAGTTCAGGTTCATTAATAAGTAGCAACTTCAAAGGGAGTCAATAAAGAAAGTTTTCCCCTTTCCCTGTCTTACAGACCTCAATTTATATTTCTAAAGATAACCAAAGTAAAATAGATAAACATTATATAAATATATATATACATATACACACCTATATGCACACCTTTTCTTTTTCTTTTCTTTCTTTCTTTCTTTCTTTCTTTTTTTTTTTTTTTTTAGTTTCTCAAGACAGGGTTTCTCTGTGTACACACCTGTACACACTGGGGCTGTCCTGGAACTCGCTTTGTATGTAGCTCAGGCTGGCCTTGAACTCACAGAGATCTGCCTGCCTCTGCCTCCCAAGAGCTGGGATTATAGGTGTGTGCCACTGCCACCTGACTGGTATATCTTCCTATTGTGGATTTATTCTATTGTAGGTTTATTCTGCAATAAACATGAATTTCTCTTGTATTTTTTTTTTTAAAGAAAGCACACATTGTTTTGTGTCAGCTTTTTATCTCAGACATTTTCATACTCCACAAAGAATGGGCCCTTCTGTACAGTAGTCTGTCTTGTGGACACGCCACACATTGCTTAAGCGCTATCTCTGTTTACTGCTGATGTTGGTACTGACACTTGAGGAAGCCTAGGGGAAAGATATTTCCTTCTGGTCAAAAGAATGGAATCTCCCTCTGGGTGGAGACCAACCATGGTCCCTTCCCTCAAGAGTTAGCCAGTCAGTCAGTCACCTGAAGAGAGGGTCACCTTCAGTCATGCTAAAGAAGCAGGAGGCTTAGTTATTCCCTTTATGAGCAGAGTCCTTTTTCTTCCCACGTTCAGGGCAAGTCAAGCTGCAGCCATGTAGCTGTGAAGCCGGCCCTCTTTCCTGAGGCCTTACTCAAGAAAGCATTCTCTCTCTCTCTCTCTCTCTCTCTCTCTCTCTCTCTCTCTCTCTCCCCCCCTCCCCCCTCCCCTCCCCTCCCCCTCTCTCCCCTTTCTCCCTCTGCTCTTCTCTCTCTCCTCTCCTCTCCTCTTTTCTTCTCTCCTCTCCTCTTCTCTCCTCTAATCTTCCCTTCCCTTCCCTCCACCCCCCTCTCTTCTGTAATTGACCAGATACTCTGGTCTTCCTTATTCTTTTCTTTTTTTCTTTCCTTTCTTTTCTCTTGTTGTTGTTGTTGTTGTTGTTGTTGGTGGTGGTGGTGGTGGTGGTGGTGGTAGTGGTGGTGGTGATAGTGATGTTTGTTTGAAGTTTTGAGACAGGATCTCACTGTATATCTGTGACTGTGGCTGTTCTGGAACTCACATGTAGACCAGGCTAGCCTCCAGCTCATAGAGATCCCCCTACCTCTGCTCCCCTGCCCTCTTACTCTTTTGTGAGATACAATTCACCAACCTCAACCTTCACCCTTGCCACAGCTGCTTTGACTATGGCTTGCTCGCTTCTGCTTTTCCATCTTATTCTTCCGGGGATCTACACAGATGCACAGCTTGCTGTCCTGGGGTTTTTCTTTTAGACACTAATAAAATTTTCCTCAAGCCTAGTCCTAAATTTTTTTTATTAACAAGGCTAAGAACCCAGAGGAGAGACCCCATTTTCCCTGTAACAATATTTGGATATTGAAAATGTATAACACAAAGAGTGTTTCTACATGCAACGTTTTGTACCAAGTAAATAATTACTCCTAGAACAAGACTTACTGGATCAGAGGATTTTAGCTTAAATTTTACCCAGTTACTCTCTTTTGGCTGGCCTCAAAGTTACAATCCAATCCTCCTGCCTCAGCCTCCCCAGAGCTAAGATGCCACCACACACTGTCTCTAGTTGCTTTTTAGAAACTGTATTTTTTTATATAGATATTTTATTTCTTTTCCACAATTCTAACAGCACAGAGTTGACAGACTGTTTTTGTCAAATCGATGTTTATCTTGTTAGGAGGCTAGAGTGACTGTCTGGTCAGAGCTACTGATGTTTCCTCGTGTGCTGTGAGAGTGTCTTCTTGCCCGGTGTTCTCTGTCGCTGTGGAACTTGTTTTAGTTTGTCCATGAGATCGTTTTCTTTTGTGGGAATCTACCTCCATCATATAAACTTGATTTTCTCTCCAATTTGTCCTGCAGCTTTTGATTTCCCTTCAGCAGTTTTTTTTTTTTCCTCTGCAGAAATAATTGTCACTATGTGGTCAACTCGATTAATATCTGTGTGTTTCGTTTTCTGACTTAGACAGGAAGCCTGGGCCTTTTCCAGGACTGCTTTTTAACAAACTGCAGGATTGAGATGGAAACTGTGGCTTGACCCTCTTCTCTTTTCTTCTTTATTTTCTAATTGTCTTAGTTTGAGTTGAATTCTGAAATTAAAAATAAATATCTGTAGTCAAGGTAGTGATGTCATAGCTCATTGGTTACACACTTGCCTACTGGGCTCCAGCACGGCAAACACACAAACAAATAAGTCAATAAATGAATCATAGTCTATGCTATGACTAACGGATAGGCATTGTTGATTAGGCTGGGCACTTGCTGAGTTTCCCCCAAGTGCACTATTGACTCCTCATTTTTGTCTAGTTGATAAATAATCACTTGCAATGTTGTGAGGCTGGAAGCGACAGGAAGCTACATGTGACGCAGGGAGCGAGACCTGCTCTTTCCTCTTCCTCTCAACTGCTTCACGGCTTGCCTGTCTCTGTCTCGGCCACCATGCCTGTGGAGCAAAGTGCCGCTTGACCTTTTCTAAAGGGAAAAAAAAAAAAGATGTCACATGTTGATGTCGGCTTGCATTTATATGCAGGCAATATGTAAATGCCTGTAGTTTTAAAATATTTATATATTTGGCATAGTTCTTATTTTTAAGTAATGTAAGCTTGCTAATTTTGTTTTTTGTTTGTCTGTTTGTTTGTTTGTTTGTTTTGCTTTTTGCTTTTTACCAAAAGTAGATTTTTTTTGTAAGATTAGGGAGTGTGGTGATGACGTTGTGCCTCCATCCATCCTAGTCAAGCTTCCTTGTTAGAGGATGAGTTGCTGGTGGTTTTCCACCACCTTGGTAGGGAAGCCCCTTGGTGGGAGGGAGTTCTTGTGTAATGTATTCCAGAGTGGAAGCCTTTGGCAGGGAATGCAGAATGGAATCTATCTGTGTAAGTATTTCAGTCGCACATCTAGAGTGGTTTCGACACTTTAGAAAGTTGGATCAGTAACAGCAACGGGGATTTTTGAAATGAATGAATTCTTGGTAACAAGACATGTAAGATTTAAAAAGATTTTTATTTTGGAACTCTTGGAAAGAAGAAGTATTCCTGTTTCAAGACATGATTGTGAAGATTCCCTCATGTTTTAGCCTCCCCAGCAAATAAGCATACAAATAAAAATTTAGCCTCCCCAACAAGTAAAAAAAATGAAGCAGGACTGAATGCATTTTAATAATAGGGACATTTCATAAAATCACAAGTAACAAACTTTTAAGTTGATTTTTATTGCATTTAGTCACTCTTTGGAAAGAGGTGTGTGTGCTGTGGTGTACATATGGAGGTCAGAGGAGGGCCTGTAGAATCAGTTCTTCCCTTACACCCGAGAGTCCCAGGGATCATCAGGTTTGCCATTGAGTGCCTTTTCCCACTGAGCCATCCTATCAGTCCCAATAGCAAAACTATTCTTTATAAATGATAGTATTTATAGGAGAAATGTGGCAGTTTTCTATCTACCCACTGATAAGTCATTTAAAAGTTATTAGATCCCCATACTTAATACTAAACCAATAATACCAGTGATCATTTTGAGACTCCTTAACTACAACCTACTAACAAAGATATCATATAATTTTGATAACTAACCAGCCAAACACTGATATTTTAAAAAAGGAAGCTATATGATATGACAAGCACTCATCGATTTTACTTCATCAGTTTTGGGAAGGTACTGGTTGCATTGTATTATGCTTTCTTCAATTATCTCTCCTTTTCACACTGTGGTTTTAAAATGTGAAAGAAAGTCTTGAACCTTGACACATTAGCATTGTCAAAATTCTGTAATTCAAAATTATATTGTGATTAAAATCTTCTAGATTATGATTACTTATTTCTTGGAGATGTTGGTTTTTCCTTAGTCAATTCTGAAACTTTTATACAAAAAAAAAATTCAAGGTATTTTGACATGCCTACTTAAATGCTCCTGGGTTTTTTGTTTTGTTTTGTTTTGTTTTTTTGGTTTTCTTAAATGCATGGTCATGAGATTAATAATAGATTAGAAAGTTAATACAGATTCTATTTGTTTCAAGTAAAGTTTATAATTCATTTGTCCATGTAAAGAGCCAGCCATAATACAAATCCCCTGCACATTCATGATTATTTTCCTTTCTATATAGCACAATATGATCTACTCAGAAATGTTTTTACACATATTTATAAATGTTGACAAGCTATGTAAATATTTTATTGTTCACATTTTTGTATTTCACACCATCATTTGTATTTGTCACTACACATAAAGGGTTCTCACACAGCCAAAGTAAAAACATATTTTAATAACGTCATTAGTACTTAGAATCTTTTTTAAAAAAATGATAGTCACAAAATCAATTATTTGAATCCATTGAGGGTAATGATTCATCATTAGTTAGAAAATGAGCAGGCCTGTCTGTATAAACCAACCAATTTGCTTTATTTTTCCCCCTTTAGGCAGAGCTCACAGTTTGGAGATGAAAAAACATTTAGTGACTCATCATTACTGGAAAATCTCCAGAATAACCACGTAAGTGCCCTCAGAGTGTTATCTGTCTCCTAAGAGGTGAGCACTTGTGAGTGTTTCTCAGCTGCCGGCCATGTTTATTGGCTTTTTTGTTTTTACTCTCATGATTTTTATTCGCATGATTTAGATTTATTTTATTTTCTGTGCAGTGGTGTTCTAAGTGTCTCCTGTGTCTAGATGTTTATATCTTTCCCTAGATTTGAAGAATTTTCGGCTGTGATTTTATAGTGCCTGTTTTATGTGGCCCCCTCCAAATAGGATACTGTTAGAGTAAAGAGGATTTAAATATTATTAAAGCTAGAGGAAAATTCAAAGTAGACAGAGGACAGAGTGGGGAGAAAAACTGAAGTAGGAATATGGGAAATAGAAGACAAAGAATGATGTAAAAAAGGAACAATCTAACCTAGTTAAGCAACATGAAATATGGAAATGCCAGTGAAGATTCTTTTCAAAAAAACAGCAGAAATGAAATTAAACTAAAGCACAAGGTGCTAGCTATCTCATCTGTCGATATCTCTTCTTTATAGTGTTAGAGAATGCCTCTCTTCTCCCTCGGTGTCTTATAGTTTTAACCCTGTTGGTAAGAGCGCCACCTGCCCATCTGAGGACTGACCTATGACATAGAGCATCTGCAGCAGTTAACTCTTACCTACGTGTCCCCTGTCCAGACCGCCATAGCCCCTGTGTGCTCTTCAGCCTCCTGCCCAGCTCTCCTGGTTTGTGTCTTCACTGGTGGAATACTGCCCTGGCATCAAGTCCCATCACCTCCCAGGCTTCCCTCTTCACTCACAGAGTGTCCTGATCTGCCCCAACTTATATCACCACTCTGCCTTGAACCACGGTTTCTTTCTTCCTCTGGAGGCCACCAAGGCCTTCTTTCAGTTTTTCAAATACTTCCATCTTTCCTTCTTTGGGACCTTTTTAGGTACATGCCATTCTTTCTAGTAGAGTTGTCTGTTCTCAGTTCTTCATGAGGTTCAGATGTCCTCCATAGATCTATCTCCATATCTCATGGACAGCGAGAAACTCCTGTCACCTTGCATGGCATACTCTCTTACAGTCCTCAGTGTGCTGTGAATAAGCCATGCAGCCACGTCAGTCTGCTGTGTCCCCTGCAAGTCTAAGCTCCATGGCCGGACCCTGGGCTTTGTCCACTCTCTCTGACTAAGCAGCTTTTGTTTCCATAACCCAACTGAACTCTTTCAACTGGCTTACTTTATTTTGGAGGTTATACGAACATAGGCACACAGTACATTTCCTTTATTAATTTGAATGGCATTTCTCTCCAGAAGCCAGACAGGAAGATGTTTACTATTTAGTGTCCAGGTTCTTTTCTCATCAGATCTGAGATGCTTATGGAAAGGATTCACTCTTCAGTCTGCCTTGAGCCTGAAGAGTTGATAGTGCTCAGTAATTGCTTGTTTTAGATGGACAGATAGATGATTGATAGATAGATAGATAGATAGATAGATAGATAGATAGATAGATAGATGACTGATTGACAGATAGATGATAGATTGAGATAGAGAGATAAATAGATGATAGATGATAGATTGATAGAGAAAATAGAGATAGATAAGTAGATAGATGATAGATAGATAGATAGATAGATAGATAGATAGATAGATAGATAGATAGATGATAGACAGACAGATAGATGCCTACATAGACAGTTGGATAGATATAGATATATAGCTGTAGATATATTAGAGAAAAGGAGGCTGGCATTACAGAGAAGTGCACACATCATCTCCCCCACTCAAAGGTTAGATGCCTGAAATTTAAATCTGACTAGAAATTACAAACAAATAAAGTGAACATTTTAGATTATCTCTTCTGTCCACTTAGGACCAAATTCATCATCTTTTTCTGCCATTTCTGTTTAAGAGCACAAAGCCATGTTAAATAAATGTTTACAGAATGAGTAGGGAAGTACAAGAATGAATAAATTGAGTTCTAAATAGGTTTTCTTCAGAAGAGACATTGGCTGGGATCCCACACCCCCAATGCTTCCCAGCTGTACTCTTAATAAATGGCCGTGAAGTAACATTACTGCCATTAGTGTCAAATGTTTAAATGAAAAAGGATGAATTATGTGTTTATTCCTCACAGCCAACTGCACCTATCATCTGTGAGTTCCTCACAATGATGGCAGTCTGCCACACAGCTGTACCAGAGAGAGAAGGCGAGAAGATCCTTTACCAGGCAGCATCTCCAGGTACAGAGGAAATGACTATGGAGAAATTTTCTGTAGAAAGTTATTCTGAAATTTGGTATTATGGAACTTACATTTTTAATTTAATTTAAAAAGGGAACATAACCAAATTATGATTTCAGATTTTTAAAAATTGGTTCCTAATTGCAAACTTGACTTTCAGAATTAAATATATATGTGTGTGCATTAAAATATGTTGCTTTGTATATGTGATTTTTCTCAAATGAATTGTATGAAAAATTGAGTAATTAGAGTGTATACAAGGGAATTAAAGTATTTGTATACATGTAATTGTTCCCCTTATAAATAAGAATAAACTCTTGCATAGTGAGTTTTACACATAGACAGATGGGAAGGGGGGATTTGTTTGCCTAAAGAAAATTGCTATACATGGTTTCAGAACATAATTTTGTCCCTCTCTTTAGGAAATGGTAGGGCAGCTTTTCTGTATTCACTTTGGTGAGGAAAGCTCCTGTACTTTGGGGGATTCTGTAAAATATTTGCTCGTTACCAATGTTTACAGTTTAGGCTTGATTTTAGACTTATTTCCGAGATAAAATTAGGTAAATAATCCAAACATTTAGGAAAATGATACACTTCGTATTTTAAAGCCATATTCTAAACTAGTGGTTATGACTTGTAAAATGCAACAAATTTCTAAACCAGAGTAAGAAATATTGTTGTTTCAGATAGAGTACGTGTGTGTGTATGCATGCATGTATGTGTATGTGCATATATGTGTGTGTGCATGCATGTGTGTGTATGTGTGTGTGCACGCGTGCGTGCGTGTGTATTTGTGCATGTGTGTGTGTGTGTGTGTGTGTGTGTATGTGTGTGTGTGTGTGTTCTTATCCCTCTCAGCAGTGACAGGGCTTTGAGACATGGTGAGGAAAACAGCTGACACTTTAAGCGATTCAGATCCCTGGGCACTCTAGGGGGCAAGGGTGAAACTTTAGAAGACTTCCTGCCATGTTTTTGGAGAAAGGTGTTCTTGAGCATATGCTGACTAAGGGGCCCTTTCAAGCTGTCACTTTGGGGTGTGGGTGACGAACAGTGAGATTCGGTGTGCAGGAACATGATGCTGACATTGTTCTCATGGCTCTGGTACCATCATATACGTGAGAAGGGGTGGATTTCTGAGCATAACGAAAAGAACTTTAACCAAGCGAAAAGCTGCAACATGCCAGTGCCCTCCCCTTATATTTGCATGTATAATATTTTCTGTCCTCTGTTCCTTCCCCCCTCCCTCACCCCCCCACCCCCCCGACCCCCCACCCCCACTCCCGACACAGATGAGGGAGCGCTGGTCCGAGCGGCCAAGCAGTTGAATTTTGTCTTCACTGGAAGAACACCTGACTCGGTCATCATAGACTCAGTAAGTCACTTACATTTTAAGGGCTTTTTAGAACCTGCCTAACACATTCACGTAGCTTCATAGATAATGGCAGTAGGAAAAAGATCACAGTGAAACCAGAGTTTCCTATCCAGGGACACCATTGTCCGTCCTTTCATTTAGTTCTTTAAACACTTAACGAAACGGTGGCTGATAATATGCTCGATAGACAAGATTGATTATTCCAAACTAGACTTACCTACTGGTTTTCTGTTCTGCTAAGTGGAGATTTATCTCCCCTAAATCATCTTCCCATTTGTTTCTTCTCTGGATTCCAGGCATTATTAAATGTTTGGTTATACAAGTATCCAGAAGGCTGGGCAGAGTGCATAGGCCTGTTATCACAGTGCATGGGAGATGGGAGGATTGGGAGTTCAGAGCCAGCCTGAGCTACCTAGTGAGTTTGAAGTCCAGCCTGGGCTACATAAGACTCTGTCTCAAAACAACCAGCAACAACAAAAAAAGATCATTATTCAGGATCTGCTTTTAAGGGGGAAGTTTTAAAAAAGTCACATGTCACAGCAGGTGATATCTGAACGGCTACCTGACAGACCATGCTAGTCATCAAGGAAATGCAAAACCATAGTGAAACAGTATTATGTACCCACTGTGAAGACTAAAATTTAAAAAAAAAAAATTGATAGAAACAAATGTTAGTGAATTTTTTAAGAGTTTTCTAGTAAAGGAAAGCCTGCCTCAATCCAGCAGCTATACTCAGTTCTCAGTTACTCAGGAGAAAAGGAAGTTTGTGTCCACCCAAAGGCTTATAATGGAGGGTTCATGGTGGCTGTGCTCACAGTTATGCCAAACTGGAAAACCAACAGAATGCATTCATCAGCAGGAGAGGATGAACAGGTTGTGATCTGTCTGACAGTCTAATCAATGAAAAAGAATGAATTCTCGACTCTTTAGTAGTGTGGATAAATCACAAAAACTCTATATTGAGGAGGAGAAAATGCCAGGCACAAAGGAAAGCATCCTTTATAACCCCATCTGTATGCAGCTGGAAACTTTGCAGAAGTGATTTATAATGATAGACTCTTGAGCAGCCATTGCCTTGAGGCAGGAAGAAGATGGATTGGAAATGGAAGAAGGGAATTCATTCTGGGTCAGATGCTCAGCATCTTCAACAGGGTGGTGTTCACACAGGCGGTGCCTTTATCAGACTATACAGTGTGCATGGAAGAGCTCTGTATTTTAGTTAGTGTAAATGATAACTCATTTTAAAAATTATCACTAGTGTTTCTGTTGCACCTGTACCTGTATTCATAGCTAAACATCTTTGTACTCGGTATCTTTTCATTAAACTCTTTCCTAACACAATTTAAAAAAAAAAATATTTTCCATTATTTCCTAAAGATAAATTTTTGACATTTTTTTATTGCTTCATTTCCTTTCTCTGACTCCTTGGGCCTCTACTTTCTTAGTTAGTAAGCTGAGGACAGTGACAATAGACAGTTGTCTCCAAATGGAGACACTTTTGTCCCATGGTCCTCCATTTGGGTGCCAGCTGTTCTCGGGTCTGCTCCCATGACACTTGGAACTCTTCTGTGCCCTCTCCTGTCTCTCACTATTCATTAACCTGAAAGTTTAGTAAATTCTCTCCCGTCCTTCAGAAGGGGAATGGGAAACTGTGTTTCTGTTGACGTTTTACAAGAAAATTTTGTGACCAGTGATTATTTCCAAGAAACCTAAAATATTTCCAATTCTTCATTTTACAGCTGGGGCAGGAAGAAAGATATGAATTGCTCAATGTCCTAGAGTTCACCAGGTAAAGACACCTGCTTTATAATTGGTGGGGGAGAAAATACATATTCATCCATTTTTTTGCTTTTCCTATATATAGCTGGGACATATGCTTTACTTTTATTTATGCGTTTAAACAAAATATTAAGGTCTTCCATGCAGTTTAGATTAGTCATACACAGGTTCTTCACAGTGTGATACTGCATGAGCTGGCAGCTCAAAGGGTCTTTTTGGAAATGCAGTTACCTGAATCACAGATACAGAATAGGACTGAGAATCCTGTGGCTGGTACATTAGCTAGCTTTCCAGTATAATAACAAATGCCTGAAATAATCACCTTGTAAAGATAAGTTTACTTTGGCTCATTTTGGAGGTTGCACTCCATGGTCAGTGAGTCTAGCTACTTTGGACCTGTGGTGAGGTAGCACAAGAGGGAAGAACACAGGGAAGAATAAATCTACTCACCCCACGGCCTGATGGTCCTCCATGGAGTCTTCAGAGATTGCATTAGCACTCATGAGATACCGCAAAACGCAAAAGAGAGCAAGAAAATAGACTCCGTCCAGTTTCACAGTCCCCCTCAAAGCCTACCCCTAATGACCCAAAGACCTCTTACCACTTAAAAGTTCCCACCTCCTAATAGCACCTCTCTGGGGTCAATTCTACAACACGTGGGCCTTGGTGGTAGATTTCAGTTCCCAACTACAGCATCCAAAGACCTAAAAACATGGATATACTCAGGAGCAATGATGATTTATGTGGAACGGAATGAGTAAGACTTAGAAAGCCTCCGTTATAATTGTATGTTCCATATGCCCACTTGTCTCTGTGAAATAAGAGTTACCATCTAATAGGAAGAAACAGAAAACAAAGGGAGTGTCCCACTCACTCCTTTCTTAAGGAGAAATAATGGTGGCAGTGTCAATCACTGTGACAAGGTCCTGCCAGAAGCAACTTACGGGAAGAAAGGTTACGTTGGCTCACATTTTAAAGGGATACAGTCCATCATGGTGGGGAAAGCAAGGTGCCTGGAGCTCCAGGTGTGGTGGCAAGAGCTCGTGGCATGTCTCGTTAAATCTCCATTAATCCAGGAGCAGAGAGCTCAGGGCCAGAAGAGGGCCAAGCCATAATAACCCTGAAGACACCACCCCCCACACCCCCACCCCCACCCCCGTAACACCTTTCAGCCAAGCAGGCCCCGTCTCCTAAAGGTCTCAGGACTACCTAATATATTTACATTCCCACAAGAGCAAAGGCCTTCAGCTCTACCACACTACTCACACTTACAGTCTGCATTACTGGCCAGCTACCCTATGTTCTTGGGACAAATCGGTCTTACTACGGGGTCTTTAAAGATCGAGCATTACCTCTCAAAGGATACTTCAAAAACTAAAGCCCAACGGAAAAGCAATACTTTATTTGAGGAAAGAAATGCTTACCTGCTCTCCTGGGCTTCCTCCTACATATGCAAAATCTACACACTGCCTGAGAGAGACAGTTCCTTTTGTATGCTAACTTCGGTGGCCGTCTTGATATGGAGTGACCACGTGACCAAACAACAGGATCTGTCCCAACATTAAACACTATCCTTGCTCTATATTTTCCAAACAGCTCAAAGGAAGCAGCTGAGTTCATTACCTAGGAGAGAGCACTCCCACATACGTCGCTCATCTCTGGCTTCATGATAAAGTGTTTTTCCCAGCCCTGTTTGTGTTAGAGGTAATATAAGCAGCATATAAATTAGCATATAGATGTGGTTTTTGGCCACTCTGGGCTTCTGAAAAGTGCCATGGAGAAAAACCAATCAAAAGCAGGACTTCCGGGTCTTTGATTCTGTAGTGGGGGTGGGCTTAAGAATGGAGAGGGAAATGAGTGAGATGCTGTCAGATAGTCTCTGGGAATGTGTGCACAGTTTGGATCAGGATAGCGTGGTGAGATGGAAGAAAGTTGATGGCCTTTTTACACCTGTCTGAGGGAGGTCAGTGGAAACTGGCTGTAGATTGGATGGGTTGGGCGGGAATAAAGGAAAGGGAGGGAAGGGCTAGGATCCTAGCTCAAACCATGGGGTGTGTAGAAATGCCCTGCACATGGAGGGCAGACATAGGAAGAGGATGTGAACCGTGGGGTGTGTAGAAATGCCCTGTACATGGATGGCAGACAGAGGAATAGGATGTGAACCGTGGGGTGTGTAGAAGTGCCCTGGACATGGAGGGCAGACAGAGGAAGAGGATGTGAACCATGGGGTGTGTAGAAATGCCCTGTACATGGAGGGCAGACAGAGGAAGAGGATGTGAACCGTGGGGTGTGTAGAAATGCCATGGACATGGAGGGCAGACAGAGGAAGAGGATGTGGTAGATGAGATGTTTGGAAACACTATGCTTTAGATGTCTGTGAGACACACAGATGGAAGTGCCCAGTAGGGAGGTGGATAGAAGAGCCCGAAACATAAAGCCAAACATAACAGCTATGGCTAAAGTACCCATTTGGTAGTCACTGGTCTCCAAATGATACCAAGAGCTTGAAAGTCAATAGGATCTTTTGAAGATAAAATGTACATCAAGGGGAAAGTGGAAGGCAGATGACTGAGCCCCTCGTTGGAAATGATTAGAAAGAATTCTAAACTATTAAGGATTGATTACAAGCTAAGACTTGGCCAAATCTTGCGGCACAGGCCTGTAATCCTAGCTCCTTTGGAGACAGAAAGAAGAGGATCACAAGTGCAAAGCTTCCCTGGGCGACAGACTAAGTTTAAGGCCAGCTCAGGCCACTTACTCAGAACTTGCCTTGGAATACGAAGTGGACTGTGTGGTGTATGTACTTCAGCGGTAGAGAGCTTGGCTAGCATGAGACTGTGGTAAGAGAACTGGGAGGAGGGAATCAATCAAATCAAGTCTTTATTGTTAAAGACACAGAGGACAAAGGTAGACTAATAAGTAGCCCAGTGCTATTTCTTTTTATCTTTTCAGAGGCAGCTGCCAGCGTAGGTAAGGGGAAGTTTGGAAAAGATCTGTTGAGTATTCATTGGAATGGTGGGAAGATGCAAGTGGATGGGGAGATGAGTGGGTGGAGCCTGTGTCTAGACGCAGAAAGGGGCGGGTTCACAGGAGAGCTGCGTGACATCAGAATGAAGCCGCTGAGAAGGTGAGATGAGCGATTTAGCAGTCATATGCCAGGAAGGGCTCTGGGAAAGGCAGAACTATTTCTCCCTTATGCCAAGAAAATATGATGGAGAAGGGAGCGCACAGCCAGGTATGGAGGCTGCAAAATGTGAGGAAGGGATTCAAGGTGAGCCCCCAAGATTCAGAGTCTGGAGCAAGAAGGAAGCGAGGAAGGACTTAGAGAATGAAGAACGTGTACCGAGGCCTTGCAGGGGTGAGCCATTGCAGAGGGATGAAATGTACGGGTGGTCAGTACGGAGCACCTCTGCTTTGTACATCCCATAGTACTCATCTCTGACTCAGTGACTTTTCCCTGCAATGGCCATTTTACTCTGATGGATCTCAGAAGAGGGTTCCTAGTCGCACTTAAGAGATCTTGCCAGGAGAAGTAAATTGATGAATCTGGGACCATTAAATCAGAACTAGACTAAGAATGGCATGAATCAAGAAGGGCTGAGTAAACCACCGGGCGGTGGTGGCGCACGCCTTTAATCCCAGCACTCGGGAGGCAGAGCCAGGCGGATCTCTGTGAGTTCGAGGCCAGCCTGGGCTACAGAGTGA